AGTTGCCTCGGCTAGGTTCTGCTCCGCTGCCGGAGCGGCCAAGTCCTCGCGTACAGTAGTCTGGAGTCAACTTTAACGCGAGCAGGCGAGTCCGCGGAGTAGGTTTTGTTCCTATCGGGTCAAAATTGCGGGATGCCAGTGCGTTTCGCAGCTCAGCAGAGCGCATTTTGGCTGGACATCGCTCACTGACAAAGACATGGTTGATCGGATATTGATCAGAAACTGGCCGAGATCGTCAAACAATTTGACCGTCAACGCAGGAAAGCAAAGAGCGTTATGGCTGGACATCGCTCACTGACACTGACAGAGACATGGTTGATCGGATATTGATCAGAAACTGGCCGCGATTGTCAAACAATTTGACCGTCAGCGCAGCAAAGCAAAGAGCGTTTTGGCTGGACATCGCTCACTGACAGAGACATGGTTGATCGGCTATTGATCAGAATCTGGCCGCGATTGTCAAACAATTTGACCGTCACTGCGTCAGCGAAGCAAAGCAAAGAGCGTTTTGGCTGGACATCGCTCACTGACAGAGACATGGTTGATCAGATATTGATCAGAAACTGGCCGCGTTAATAGTCAAACAATTTAATTTGACCATCAGGGCAGCAAAGCAAAGAAAACAATCCGAAACTTATACACACACACATGCTAAGAAATGAAGAAAACCGAGAGCCAGTTGATCAGGAGCACGCACATTTGACGTTCAAACAATTTCATTTGGGACACAGTCGGTTTTGTCACCACAGTGAATCCAGAAATTTCACGCATTTCACTTTCGTACAGGCATAGTGGGATGGTCTGAGACCATGATCGAGAAACAGAGGGTAGCAGATTCAATTCCTGCTCGGAAGTGGAAGGATTTTCCACCTGTGCTTACGACCCACCGTTAATTGGGAACTCGCGGCCTGGCACGAGGGAAACAAGGGTGCAATTAATGGGATTTTCGGTCTTTCATCACTTTCTGGTGGGTCTGGTCTACTCACCCCCCACCGCTTAGGAGCTGCATCTGCGCCTTGATCCTAGAGGATGGTGACGTTCCTGTGGATGCGGAAAACTCAGCCTGGTATGGTATTTTGGTATTGATTTATTTGAATTCGGTATCTCAACAGTACAATGTACAACTTGGGAAGATCCGAATGACATAGATACATAAACATAAAAATATAAAGGCCTCTAGCTGAGTCTCACGCTAACCATGACATTATTTATTTTCTTTCTGTTCTCTTACGTACAGTTACAATTTGGAAATATACCCTGCTTAGTATGTTGGTTGGGCGTGTGAAGCGACAGTAGGTACTGCAACAAAGGTGTAATTCATAAACTGGCAAGGTGGAGTTGTCCATAAACACAATTTGTGTCCAAATGATGAATGGCAGAGAAACCCCAGAGTAACATTTCCTATACAAATATAATCAGACTACACATTGTACAGTGTGTCTTGAGAGAATAGAACTTCAAATTATATAGCGATGTTTATGATGACTCGTGCTTTAGTGCTTTGTGTTACACGAGTAGCGTGCGACAACTTCATATTTTAGAAGCTATTTTCATACGCCTTCGAAACCCAGGCCTACGCATTCAGAAAGAACACACCACTGCTCTTACACTTTTCCCTAGCACCCCTACACACACCTGTAATGTAAACTTTCAAACCGTCAACCATTTGTTCACCCTTACACCTTGTTTCAACATGACTGTCATAAGGTTTTTCCCTCATTGCTGTGTTGTAACATTGAATATCCCTCCGTTGTTTTGACAGCATATTCTCCATATTTACGGCTTACTTGCAATTCAATGTGCATGATGATTCTTGCCTGGTGATAGCCAGAAGAAAACATTTGATATAACTACTTGTTGCTCTGTGTCTGCGAATGACTGTGTTCACATTTCCTTACATTTATTCTAATTTTAGAAAAGAAATAAGATCAAGGAACTACAAGTAACACTATACTGTCCACCCAGTTTCAACATGTGATAGTGTTCTTCTCTCATTACTGTGTTGTTACATTGAATGTCTCCCCCATTACTTTGACAACGTACTGGAAACTGCCTAATATTCGCGACGAATTAATGTTCGCTATTTTCGCGAGAAGAGAGTAACGCGAATATTCACCATTGTGAAATCTAACTTCAACAGTGGGTGGATGTAAGTGGCCCCAGTGTTTCGTGAACTTTCACCATCGCAAACTCTCTGGTTCTAAGAAATCGCGAACATTTGCTGACGCGAATATTGGGCGGTTTACAGTATTCCCCTTGTTGGTTTTGTGCACCAGCACATGTTCTCCAGGCGTCAGGGGCCCAGCCTCCCGCCCATCCCACTTGCCACACACAGCAACGCAACTGACTTAAGTACTACATAGTTAATTGACAAGACGGAGACGGCCAAAGAAGAAGACCGGAGACGACGAAGCAAAACTGATAACCAAAGAAAAGACAAACATCGTGGCATCATATGAGCATGCGCAGGACAAAAAATAATCAATTTTACACGTGACAAGGAGGTAAGCGTTCCACGGTGCACAGAAGACTGCACGTGCAACAAAAACAATGCAACAAAGTCAAAAGGAACACACTACAAAAAAGAAAAGAAAAAAAGAACCATACGCACAACAGCTGAGTCTTCAGGCTCGGCGGACATAGTACCTTGCCATGATCCAGGCGAAGCTGGGCTACGCCACAAACTCCTTCTGCCCCTCTCTCACTGCTGCAGGCCTCATACGGCTTGAGAGATCAGCGAGGACTGGCATCCGCGCAGACTTGCGATTGAATGATCCCGTCGCTACCCAGCCCAGGGGCGTGCTTGACGAGGGGCACAGGGGGCAAGTGCATCCCCCAAAATATTTCGACCGGGGTTTTGAAAAGTCACCAATATATTGAGGAAAGCCCGACCTCACGGGCTTGCTCTGCTGCATACCCACTACGGCATGCCTGTAAACACAGAAGAGGTGCTGAAGCTGTTCTTTCCACGCTCTCCTCGCCGAATCCTGTCCAGATACGTCAACTAATGTGACGATTGTTCTTAGCTATATCCATGCAATGTGTGTTTGCATCGGCCTGCCTGGCACATGCACAGTGCCGTCGACGGATTGATTTTTAAACGTTTGTAAAGTTTTCATCCTTAATTTTGAAAAAATTGATATGATGCCGTCTCGTACTGTGTTCATTCTTGATGACATACAATCTTTGTAACAGTAATGATGACGTCACATGTACAAATATCTGATGATGTCACCGGTACAACCTTTGGAAAATTGCTGTTGTCTGGAAGTGGTGCACCCCCCTGGAAGGGGAGCCGAGCACGCCCCTGCAGCCCCTGCGCGAGAGACTTCGGTTATCCACCATTGAGCAGCTCTGTCGTCAGAAAGTCCTTGTCTTGGAGGTGGAGGACGGAACAAAGACGGAGAGTGAAAGAGTGTGGACAAAGAGTAGGGCGAAGGGCCTGGGAAACAAGACCAGTAAGAATCCTGGTCACAGCACCAACTGTCGTGGTCGGCCGATCCTCCCTACGTGTGAGTTATCCCAAGCCCGTTTGCACAAAGTATATGTGCGCCTCTTGGTCATTCCACTAAGGCATACCTGAGACCCAACGCACAGAGAAAGGATAGGTAAGAACCTGCAATGCAAAAACCCGGCTCAAGCGGACAAGTCCACTTGAGCGGTAATGTAAACTCTCTAATAAACGCAACTCTACAACTCTACTGCACTCAACTGACACACTCTACTCCAGTCAGCAAACTTATACTGCTGAAGTCTAGAGCAAGCAGCTGTGAAGAGAAGCATCGAGCAGGCAGCAGCAAACAGAGCACGAGCAAAGTCAGCAGGAGCGAGTGGCACGTTGCTGCAAGGAAACTGTAACACTATAAACGTGCAATGGAAACAGGCAGATCGCGCAGACGGAAAGACAAGACGATCGATTACAGTTCTGTGGTAAGGGCCAGTCTAGGCAACACATTGAGGAATGCCATCAGGATGTGACTGTAGTGATAATGAGGAGTAGAACATATCTTAACACTTGACTCCATCTTCTAGAAATGTACATCATGTGTACCTATGCTACTGTTCCAATTATTATGCATAGTCATGGTTTCAGCATTAGGGTACATAACTGCTACATGTAAATGGTTACGAGCATTACTGTGTACGCAGGGTCATCACAAAGGCATTACAGTGATGGAAAAGGCTAGGGAAAACAAACAAACATGAAAAGCCAGTGCGTTGGTATAAAATACAGGCAGTAAACGTACAAGCAGATATCACGAGATATACTGGGGTAAAACAACAGAACAATGTGAGCAAGACATCCAGCAACATAGAAATATCTAATAAAGCAGACAATTCCTATTCTGCCATCAGTCTGTACTGTGTAGTCACTGTAGCCGGAGACTACTAACGAAAACCATACTTCACAAAACATACACGTAACTTGATTACCAGCATTGCCGCAACAAGTCCATCCTGACAAGAATCCTGTGCTCGTATTACTACAGATTAGGCCATAGCCAGCAGATCAGTAATGGGCTTCAATGGACTATTGTCACTTGATCACCTTTGCTCTGCAACGACACATACCAGCATAGGTTACTGGTTGGGATGTTGTGCAACACTTCAGTAACACCGGTACGATGATGCAGTCCGGTCAGGCTATGATCATCATGGTTCAAAGTCAATGTGATCAAATCATTGCTCTGCCAGCCCCGGCCTAGAGCACCACCACCAAGAGAGGTATCAGCACGGAAACCAAACCAACCGTACACTTCACCCTGTGTGCTATGTACATTGGACAGTAGTGGACTAGACGATGCACATAAGTACACATAGATACAGGCATCCTGTATGACATCTATACGTACCTGTATAGCACTACTACCGCACTGTTCCTGTATCGGTGTGCTACATACTGAACGATAGCTCCAGTCGGTCGACAGCTTACGGATGGTTCGGTTGTTGTTCCTGATCTCAATATCGCCATAACAGCGGTTGATATCAAACACAGGTGCCGGCTGAGCAGGTGCTGGTGGAACAACACTGAACTTCACTCCACTACCTTTCAGAGGAACACCTGCAATCGTAGTGGTAACAGCGTATTCGCCGGCTGCAGCAGGACGGCATTTAGTCACCAGATGTCCAGTAGATGATTGCTGTAGGGGCTCGCACTGGACTGTCTTGCCGTCCGGATTTGTCACACAAACTCCTACATCGATCTTCCTCAGCTGGTCTTGGCTGATAGTAGCAGCATCGGAAAGGTGCTCCATCTCTATGTCGATCTCAACATCACTGCCCATCTTACGATTGCCTGAGCAACGCACTTTGTTCTTTGCTGCGTCAACACAAAGACCAGCTTTGCTGATGGCAGCCACAAGATCACGTGTGTCGCTTGCCGCAAAGACGATGCCGCTCACAACACATGGCTCAGCATTACTCTTGCCAACCGCCGCTGCACTGTTCAAGGCTGTCACTAGCCAAGACGACATGCGCACAAAATCCACACTGTCCTGGCAAGCATCCAGCATGCCTCTCACCACCTCCGTTTGCGACACACTGCCCTGCAGCCTAGCGAGTTGCTTCTCCAGAGGTCCCAGTGCCTGACTTCGAAGATCATCAAGTTCATTCAGAACACTGGTTTCTCGTTTCTGAATAGTTTCTACCAGAGAACGGAAAAATAGCACGGCCTCTTCTGATGCAAGCTCTATCTGATCATGAAGGTTACGAATGGAGGACTGTACTTTCTCAATGGAGCTCTCCAGAATGCCATCTCTCTCAGACACACAGCTCAACAACAAATCATTCACTGACGCTCTCATCTTCTCTGCTGCAGCATTGATAGACACAAGATCTTGTTTGTGTGGCTCATGTTTTCCAGTACCAATGCATCGCTCACATAACAGCTTCTTACACTTTGTGCAGAACTTGGTCAGGATGCTGCTTGGGTGCAGTGCACAGCGATGTTGTGATTGCGTAGCTGAAGCAGCAGTAGCGGTCTCAGCAGTCTCAGTGCCTGCTTCAGTCAATGCAAGTACCTCATGATCATGTGTAGCTCGGGAGATCTTGTGTCCTTCAGTGTGAAAACTGCACAGATGACTGCGGCATGTTGCACAGCGCGAAACAGCCACTTTTACATCCATACATTCATCACACGACACTGCAGACTTCTGCTCTGTACCACTACCCTCTACATTGGCATAGCTATCTGGCAAAGACAGCATGGGGGAGCATCCAACCTGCTGCCATGGTGTTGAAGCCCTACACTTCGGACACGTAACGGAGCCATCTTCATCAACATTCTGCTCAAGGCATGACATGCACAGAGAGTGGAGGCACTGGACCAGTTTAATCCTCTTGTTTTCACAGCCACATGCTACACAGCTCACAGGAGGCATGTCTCAAGCAGGAATTATTATCCTCTAGTCCAACACATTCAGCTTCTCACTAATTGTTTTCTCAACAATCAAGCTGGCAAAGGGATACTGGAACCTCTCTGGGATCACAAATGCAGCACGAGGAATCTCGAGAAAAAAATAACACTCGCACCAGGCGGTGAACACAGAGATAAAAGTGGCACGGTGTCAGTAGTAGATGTAGCTCTGCACAGCAGTCTAGTGCAATGTAGGCTACACACAGCATGTACACATGCAGACAGTGGTACTCTCACTGCATGTACTTTTCAGAGATTGCATGACAAGCTGAGCTGGCCCCAAGGCTGGCCAGGTCTGTCATGACAGGTAGCACAGACTTTGCTGTCAATGCACCTGCACCCACCCTGCACTGAACCATGACATTCCCATTCTGTTATACTTATAGTCCACCAAACAGCATACAGTCATGTACAGTGCATTGCATCACACAGCCTGTCTCTAGCACCACTACCACTGACCACCCCTCCCCCCCCCCCCCCCCCATTCACACAGCCAGTCTCTAGCACCACTACCACTGACCACCCCTCTCACACAGAAATAATTACTTACTTGAAGAGCACTGAAAAGAGAGTTTCCTATGTTGAAGGCAGAGACCTCCTGCAGTGAAAAACAATCAAAAGTGTCCCTTCCATATTCACCTTTGATATTTCTGACCTACCCAAGTTGGGTGTTTTGCCTTGCTGCCTCAAATTGTAGTTAGACCGCAGTGCCAATACATTAACTGGTCTCGCCTTCGTCCTATAAGAGGCGACGTTCTCTGTTGCCGTGGGACTTAGCTTGTGCACATTTTCACTGCGCTCACGTTCCCCTCTTTCCTCATTTACTTAGCCATGAATCTTTCAAGTTGGAAAGCTGTTGGTTTGCTCACTGGAGATGTGTTGGAGCTAGGTCTCAGGTCGTTGAATGTCTCCTCAGTTTGCCTCTCAGTTTTGTGCCCAGTTATCACACTTTCTGACTGCCTACTGTAAACCCGGGAATTTTTGCTGGTCTAATATTTTTGGTATTTCCTAAAATCAACTGTTCGGTGGCACGAAAATTTCGGTAAATCAGTTTTCCAGATACAAATGTATTTTGCACACTATGTGGCATCGCTTTTTGGATTTTAGGTCTCGTTTTATTTTAGGTAAAAATTTCCTGCACCGAAGTTTGACGATGTACCGAAGTCACCGAAAATAAAACTCCCGCGAAATCTTCCGGTTTTACAGTACTATCTTGTTACAGTGGTGGTCAGTTTCCATGGTTACTCATAACTCATACCTACATGTATCTGTACTTTTCTATCTTCAGGTTATAAAATTACAAATACCTTGTACTGGAGAGAATTGAGACTGCTGCTGTGTAAGTCTGGCGACGATGTGGTCTGTCCTCCTCCACCGTCCATGAATCTGACAGGGTCACTCTTCTGGCCAAAGTTCCCTTGTGTGTAACTTTCACAGTGACAACTGCCACAAGCACTGCAGCAGGGCTGAACCCCAAATAGGTCACACCTTGAGGCGAAGTTCTCTGATGAGTGAGTTCCATATTCCCAACCTCACCCTACATCAATTCTGTCTGCTCTAGCTCTCACTGCCATCCAAACAAATCTCTCCACGATTGAAAGTCCTGCGATGTGCGCTGCGTCGACTGCTGCATGCATTCGGAAATCACACTGACAGTCCGTGATATCCTCCAACTGCAGGCAGTGACCAGGTGACGTTCAAGCCGGTAAGACTAGCATAGCACCCACTATTATTAGCAGTTTTTTCTCTGGTCTCTGACGTTCGACTCCACTACATGTATATATCGGGTCCGCGCCAGATCTTGCACTCGTTCATGTACTGGCTTAGTTGGCGAATACGGAATAGTGTCTTCGACTCCGTCGTGGCCCAGCTAACCAGAATGGATACGACCAATGTACACTGCCAGCCACCTTCGCAGACTAACTGGTAAACGACGAATTATTTTCCTGCACGCTCCGCTCTCTTCTTAGACCGGCTAAAATGGTGCGCTGTCGTGCTCCGATCCACGCTCTGTGGCATATCGGTTGGCTGCATGCGGGGCCTCGCTCAGAGTCGCTGCCATTGCATATTGCCGTCGTTACGTAGAGGGCGGAATCATTACCGTTCGAAGTAGTTCAATCAAGCGCGAATATCTCTCCGGAGTCCGCATATTCCATGTAACATTGTTCATCACCCGGCATTATATCCTCGAAGTAGTAGCGCCTCGCAAAGAGAGCTAGAACCATCCGCTGCTACCAGAAAATGGCTTGGAGGCCGCGAATGACTTGGCCCCTAGTCCACTAGTTTTTCACTCATCGCGGGTAAAACTGTGACTGCAACAACAGAAACACTCGAAGGCAAAACTTGAAGGGAGCGAAACCTTCTTCCGGTCCCACAGGTATTTAGGCACAACAACAGCCAGAGAGCTAGTGGCAGGCAGCATTGCCAGACACAACATGACGAAACGCAAGAGCAAGAATAAAACAGAGGAGAGCAACCCAAAAGGATCAGGAACAAGTGTGAACGCTCGGAACTAAAAAAATGAAAAGCGTGCCATCAAGCTCGTACATCAACGCATGCACGTAATCATAATGCATAATGGTGTTGCTTGCGCCCTGATTATTAGTGATTTTGATACACGCACGTGGTTCATCGACATCATTAGTCTATTTCCATAAACGGCGTATCACTATCAGTGTGAGCAACACACAGACAGTCAGTACAGTGGTCCCTCTCTATTAAATCCGGCACCATTTGTGCCACGGAAAATCTGCTGGATTAGGGAGGGTGCTGGATTAACAAATCTGATTTACTGCTACAATGTGCATGAAGAGGACATTTTGGCTACTGGACATTGTGCTGGTTTATCGAGGGTGCTGGATTATAAAGTGCTGGATTAGAGAGGGACGACTGTACAGGTAGACATGTTCCAAATTTTCCCGAGCCGTGCCCAGATTATTCATTTGTCACGAAATACAGACATCTACCGGTATCCTGTTTATCACCAGCGTTGTACATACCGGTAACTTGAACCGACTTTTTGGGGGTGAAGTTCTGTTGCTTATTGTTTTACTCCGGAAAATACAGTCTTACTAGCATTAGTATTATCGGCAGATGGCGTTATTCGGTGCGCATGTGGTCCTATGCCTCTGGCAAATCAAGGCATGAAGAGAGCTAGAGTAGTAGAGAGCTGTACGCATGCATTGTTGCATGTCTCCTGCATAGACTGAGTCAAGATCAACGCATCAAGCTACACTGTCTGTACTGAGAACAGTGACAGCGGAGCCGGCATGGTCTCAACCACCACAATCCTATCAGCATGGTGGACTCCAGCAGAGCCTCCACCGCTGTCAAACAGCATGGGAAGTGGCTACAGCGGCGACTCCAGTTTCTCAGCCAATGCCTACTGCAAGAGCACAAACATGTAGAATGGATCCCACAGCAAGGACTAGAAACAGAGCAAGAAGAGCGACACCCAAGGACAACATGATACGGCCTACAGAGATGTATTTAAATAGAGCATAACATCAGACGTAAGAGACATGGACGGGGGAGCAGGAGGAGGATCAGAAGAGAGAGAAAGAGAGTGAGAGTGAGAGAGAGAGAGAGTAGGTGTGAGAGAGAGTAGGTGTGTGAGAGAGAGAGAGGAGGGAGAGAGAGAGAGAGAGAGAGAGAGAGAGAGAGAGAGAGAGAGAGAGAGAGAGAGAGAGAGAGAGAGAGTACACAGACTGTTCGGGTGGTGAAAATTAGAAGTCCAGAAGTATATACTTTTGATACACACAGTATTGAGCATACTCAACAGTGCGATGACAATACCGCTTTGTCCATAGTCGTCTAGACTATAGAGTATCTTTTAGTTATAATACTTATGAACTGGAATAAATAGGTGCCTCGACTGAATACAGTTCGATATATTATGTCCAGCTTGAAAAGAATGCATTCATGATAGCTCATGAACCTGTGCTAAATGCTAGAGTATGGCCAAGCCGGGGGGAAGTCCCGCTTCTCATCAGGAGGCCAGAGTGTAGTTTCTGTTATGAGGTATGGACTGCTGTGTGTTGTGAGTTGCAGCTCTGTACAAGCAGGTCAGTCGCCTCAAAGTGATATCAAATTTGCACCAAGAGATCAAAGTTTTGTGTGTGAAACCCGACATGCAGTACAGTGCGGAACGCATTCATTGGCAATTGCATGTCGGGTTCAGTGTGCCAATAGGACGCAAGCTGCCCGATGCCTCTCGCAGTGTACTGTACCACTGAGCTGTAGTGGTGAGTCTTATGATACTGGTGAACACCTATAACAGCAACACTACTGGATATGCGGACTGCTATACCATCCACACTGTAACGTGAATAGCATGGCGGAAAAAACCCAGCTGAGAGCTTACGCCAGCGGTTTTCTGTTCGGGCGAGGAACAAAAAGACTTGCAGAGTGCGTCCATGTGCATGTTGGTCAATCCGGCACAGCACATACGTTTATACCATGCACAGTGCACAGGTTTCAGGGTATTTGCTGACTCCGGCCCGGAACACACTCACGGGGACTCGGCCGCATGGAGTGTCTTGGGCTTAAACTCGGAGATGTGGTCTGGCGGCGATGCCCTCAGCGCTTTCCTGATAGCACTGATCTTTGCAGACGTGGCCACCTTCTCCAGGAAGGCAGCAGTATCGGCAGCATTGTTCAGCACCGCTGTCAATCCAGTGGTTTTGAGATCAAAGCGATGGTCAACAACCTGCATCTGTGATCAGAAAAGACAGAGTAAATAACTAGTCAGCTGCGGTAGAGTTGACACCAAGTTCACTGCATATTCCTAATTGTATAGAATTCACACCGAGCAATGACACAACCAAGTCCGTCTTTGCCGTTACTCAGAGCTTTGTGTTTGAAGAAAAACACACTCCTGATCAGACACTAGCTTGTCATTGCTGAGTGAGAATTGTATTACTGGCACTGTCTGCTGGTCATGGAACACTATACGTAGCCTGAGGATCTTTTAGACAGCGTTCAGACTACCGTGAATCCCGTCAAACCGTGAAAGGCGATAAACCGTGAAGGACATCACACTACCGATAAACTAACGTCACCGGTACATAAGTTTTGCAGCTCTCACCGCGGCGCTGAGAAGGGATTTTCCCTTTTTCCCAGCCTGAGCACTTTTTTTACTGCCAGAATGCAGTTACCGCCGCAGGAGTAAAACTTTTCTGCCGGTAACGTGCCAGTAACGTCACGTGATCAAATCACCTTGGAAACTTCTCCATTCCGTCACTTTTTATCGGTAGTCTGAACGCGCCCTTAGACAGCGTTCAAGTGACCTCATCATGTAGAAATATGATGATCTTGTTCACACAAGGTCTAAAACACGCCAAAGCGAGGTGATGCAATTTGAAATTTCTTCACAGCCGCATTTTCTGCATTTCAAGTTAAAATTGAGTGAGTTTTTTTTCGGGCAAGGAACACTCTTATTTCTTGACTAGCCGGGTCACAGTGTGAGCACACCCGTAATCAGCTTGATGCAATCAGTTCAAGAAAAACGGGGCTTGAATCCTTTTTACTTACCCCAAAGTAGTGGAAGGTCCTGACTTTCTCGCTGAAGTCCATCTTGCCCACAATCGATTTGCGATGCTCCTGTTCATCTTGTTCCTTTTTTGATGATTCAATGTCAAAGAGCTTGGCTCGAAGCAGCTTCAGGCAGTTTTCTCTGTTCTGGGAAACAGGACAAGGACAAGACAAGACAAAGTAGCCAAATGGTCATTGTGAACAAATTCCCAGGAAGAGACAAAGAGGAGACAAAACAAGTCAATCCGGTCATGCAGTGACTCAAACTATAAAATCACCTAGAAGGAAAAGACAGTGTCTGCAAAGACAAAATCAGAAACTTGAACAATAAATTTCACGTACCAAGCAGTTGCAGGAGCAGCAACAACAGCCGAAACATCAGAAACAGCAACAACAATGAAGACAACAACAACAATGAAGACAACAACGACAATGAAGACAACAACAACAATGAAAACAACAACAACAACAATGAAGACAACAACAACAATGAAGACAACAACGACAATGAAGACAGCAACGACAATGAAGACAGCAACAACAATGAAGACAACAACGACAATGAAGACAACTACAACAATGAAGACAACAACAACAATGAAGACAGGAACAACAATGAAGACAACAACGACAATGAAGGCGATAAGAACAACAAACACAACAAGAACGAGAAAACAACCACCACCACAACCACGGCTGCCGCTGTCAAAAAAATCGGCGACGTCACACGACGACCACAACAACAACAACATCAGCAGCAGCAGTAACAACAGTCTAACACATTTTGTTCACAACACAAATATTTCCTGGCTGGAGTGCTACGACTATTAAAAAGGTTTACAGGAGGAGCAATTACCAAGCACTTACCACACTCTGCACACGAGATGTTTCAGAACGGAATGCAATGCCACTTGGGATGTGAGTCACACGTACTGCACTCTCTGTCTTCTGGACATGCTGTCCACCAGCACTACGGGATTAAAAACAAGAGAGAGAGAGAGAGAGAGAGAGAGAGAGAGAGAGAGAGAGGGGGGGGGAGAGAGAGAGAAAGAGAGAGAGAGAGAGAGAGAGAGAGAGAGAGAGAGAGAGAGAGAGAGAGAGAGAGAGACAGAGAGAGAGAGAGACAGAGAGAGACAGAGAGAGAAAGAGAGAGAGAGAAAAAGAGAGAGAGAGAAAGAGAGAGAGAGAGAGAGAGAGAGAGAGAGAGAGAGCGAGAGAGAGAGAGAGAGAGAGAGGGAGAGAGAGAGAGAGCGAGAGAGAGAGAGAGAGAGAGAGAGAGAGAGAGAGAGAGAGGGAGAGGGAGAGAGAGAGGCTAATTTGCAGCATCTGCTTGTATAACTGTGTCCAGTGGTGAAAGACTACCGTACGGCACTACTCTAGACAAAGGATGCTCAGGAGGTTACACAATCTTAAATTAAACTGTGTTCACAACTGGCGTGTTGACGCGGTACGCTGGCGGATCATGCGCGCCCAAGCGCACATTCAGCCTTTCAAAAAAACAAAAAAAAGCAGCAATTCGAGTCGTATTTTAGGGCGGGCGACGCCACCGAATACTAAGTTTTTGACCCTGTGAATCAAAGTGACTGGCATGTACGCCGGTACGCGCCTGATATGTGCTGGAAAATAAAACATACTGGAATTTTATTCCCGTAGCTATGCAGAAGACGTTACTTCAGTAACGTCTGGCGCTAGCCCGGGTCCACACAGCTTTAATTTGGTGTTTGTGGCGGGCGGGCGGACCTCCGTCTGGCGCTATCCCGTACCGTACCGTGCCATCAAAGACAGCTGGCCACAAACAGCTGGCCACCATATTCAAACAGGGCTTTCAAATGCAAGATCATAACGTGAAGCAACTTGGAAGAATGAGCATGAATGCGAAGTGTATCGGGTAATGCATGTAGGGCGATTGCGCGGGTTCGAATCCCAGGTTATGCCTTGAAAAATAGGAGAATCGAAAAATTTATAACATCCCTATGCCTTTTGCCTAGGTCATCAAGGTGGTAGACGGTGTCGTATTACCCTCGACTGTACCTGTCCCGTACCGTACCATCAAAGGTGGTTGGCCACAAACAGCTGGCCACAATATTCAAATGGGGCTTTCAAATGCAAGATCATAACGTGAAGCAACTTGGAAGAATTAGTATGGATGCGAAGTGTATCGGGGATGCATGCAGGGCGACAGTGCGGGTTCGAATCCCAGGTTATGTCTTGAAAAAAATAGGATAAATGAAAAATTTACTATGCTTTTTTTGCCTAGGTCATCAAGGCAAAAAAGCATAGCGTAGGGCCCTGAGCTTCCAAGCTCTCTCGTTTTGGCATGATTTCATATGCATGAAGACCAACAAAAAAAAAGAGTTCGCTAGAGACTCAGCTAGACTGAGTATTCAGCATCCGTAGGAACACCACCACCCTGCAAAGATCTAAAGGGCGATTCACAATACAACTTTCTGTGACGCGATACGCGATTCGCGACAGCTGCGACAAGAAACTGCCTGTCGCGAGCTGTCGCAAGGTACCTGTCGCAGAAGTTGAAGAAAGTTCAACTTTTGCGACATGGGACTCGCGACATACACAAATGGAGTACAGTTTCGACCCTGGATGCACGTGCAGTGCACGTGCATAGTACTACTTGTGCATGTGGATGTCGCAAACATGAAGAACATTGTGAACCGTGTGTCGCTGTCGCAGCTCGTCGCATGTGTCGCAAGTCGCATGTCGCGTCGCAAGAAGTTGTATTGTGAATCGGCCTTTAGGCGCAGATGCAGCTCCTGAAGCGGCCGAAGACGACCAAAAGCCAGCAAAGTATGCACAAATGCGTGGTTCACGCGTACAGTACACGTACCAGTTGTAAACACTGCTTTAGGGTGATGCATTCCCATCCACAAAAAGCCAAGACTCGCCAGTGTAACTCCTGCGAATATTCCATGTGTCAATCCACTATCGGGCAAATGTTTTGAACACAGGACGGTTCACGAGCTGCAACAAACTGTTTCCGGCCGAAAAATCTTATACGAATATCATTCATTCCTAGATGATCATGAGTCCAACTGGGACAGAACTTCTTTGTGAAAAGCCATAGACCTACCCAGATGCTCTGAACACTTCATATTTCAAATCCTTGGCATCAATGACAATATCTAGCTGCAAGAAAGGCACAAACCAACACGGGCGCACACAAACACACACACACACACACACACACACTCACACACACACTCACACGCACACACACACACAAACACACAGCGTCTGATTTGGACTAACCACAGGCACGGATGCACGTACACATGCTGAAGGCTGATAAATCGACTACCACAATTTTAACCTGATCACTCCTCCACATAGCTCACTGAAGCAGCTTTTTCTGGCCCGCGAATACCTACTCTTGATTATTCGATTTTTTTGGACATGCAAACCACACCACACACTCTGGCATCCACTAGCAGTAGGTAAACACCAGGGTGAATGAAAGAAGAGCTAAGAGAATGAGAAAGTGAACACGTGCGACTTATACAAATATAATCACGAATTCAACCTGCAACCTCTTGATGGGGAATCGACTGCACATACCACTGCACCATATGGGACACACAATTCACACACGATGCACACACACTCACACACACACACACACACACACACACACACACACACACACACACACACACACACACACACACACACACACACACACACACCGACATACGGACACACGTGAACACAGCGTCGTACCTCGGTGGGTTCTGGTAGGATAAGGATGGCCACGGTGCTGGTGTGACGACGACCCATGGCATCCGACTTTGGTACTCTCTGCACACGATGTACACCACTCTCGAACTATACAAAACAATAAAAACAACAATGGTAACAAAAGAAGCAGCATTAATAATCTTGTTGTACAGAAGAATACAAGTCTTGCGTTCTGAAAAATTGATAAATAAATCTTGAGCAGGGCTCAATCTGACTTTCATGCCGTGGAATGTCTCAGTACTCCTTGCAAGTCTTGTGCTACATTGTGCTAGTATAGAACTGTTCAAGATCTGCTCTAATTGCTGGACTCTTGAGGCATAACTTGTGCCCCACTGTCTTCTTCGCTTACATCATTTTTAAATACTTCATTGGCTGCTTAGCTGAGTGTAACATAGTATTGGGGCTGGGTTTAGCATCACCTCTTGTCAGTTGCATGTTCTCTGCACTAACCGCCGTGCGATTAGATGAGAAGGCACAACTACTTTCTTAAGGCATCGATGCCTATAATTTATCTAAGTAGACTCACAAGAAGTGTGAGTTTCAAAGTCTTAAGAAAAATGTTGAACGATCGTTGCTGGGATGACGACTACAACATAGCTTAGCGGTAGAGCAGCGCTAGCCATAACCAAGTGTCCTTGGTTCGAGACCTGGTGGAGGCAGTCAAGTTTTTCTTCGGACTTTTCCCGTTTCAATTCACTAAAACTTCTGAAAATCTAAGAAAAAGTAAAATTAAATTTATCTCTCAAACAAAAAGAAAAAACCCCTGATAAAACTAGGTATGCAGTGCAGGACAGCTGTCAGTAGGTCAAAACATTACAGTTTTGTTTGCACCCGTAATGATGCTCAGGGTAAGTTCTGGCCAAGGAGGAGCTCATGAGCTTAATATGAACGCAGGTGTCGGCTGAGTAAGTGCTATGAAGGCAGGTGTCGGCTGAATGGGTACTATTGTCTATTGTGGGCATGCAAACCGGCTGCTCTACGCCGGTTACTTTTAAAACTGTATCCATGAGAGAGAAATTGTCACATCATAGGTTGTGCAAACGGTGCAAAACATTTTTGGCATTTATTGCAGTTATTTGCAGTTACAGTAGCAGAAAGCCTTACTAAAGAGTACATAAGGGTGGCATTGGCAGCACATGAGTATGAACAGCAGGTAATTTGGCATAAGATAAAGGCAGTAAAACAAACAAACAGTTGTCAGGAGATACAGGGTGAGCAAACAACAGAACGATATGAGCAAGACATCCACCAACAGAGAAATATCTAATAAAGCAGACAATTCCTATTCTGCCATCAGTCTGTACTGTGTAGTCACTGTAGCCGGAGACTACTAACGAAAACGATACTTCACAAAACATACACGTAACTTGATTACCAGCATTGCCGCAACAAGTCCATCCTGACAAGTATCCTGTGCTCGTATTACTACAGATTAGGCCATAGCCAGCAGATCAGTAATGGGCTTCAATGGACTATCGTAACTTGATCACCCGCGTTGAGCAACGATACATACCAGCATAGGTTACTGGTTGGGATGTTGTGCAACACTTGAGTTACACCGGTACGATGATGCAGTCCGGTCAGGCTATAATCATCATGGTTCAAAGTCAATGTGATTAAATCATTGCTCTGCCAGCGCTGGCCTAGAGCACCACCACCACCACGAGTGGTATCAGCACGGTGACCATACCAACCGTACACTTCACCCTGTGTGCTATGTAGACCATTCAGTACTGGACTAGACAATGCACATAAGCACACATAGATATGGGCATCCTGTGTGACATCTATACGTACCTGTATAGCACTACTACCACACTGATCCTGTATCGGTGAGCTACACACTGAATGGAAGCGCCCGTCGTACGACGGCTTACGGATGGTTCGGTTGTTATTACTGATCTGAAGACGGTCATGACAGCGGTCAATATCAAACACAGGTACAGGTGCCGGCTGAGCAGGTGCTGGTGGAACAACACTGAACTTCACTCGACTACCTTTCAGAGGAACACCGGCAATCGTAGTGGAAACAGCGTATTCGCCGGCTGCAGCAGGACGACATTTAGTAACCAGATGTCCAGTAGATGATTGCTGTAGGGGCTCGCACTGGACTGTCTTGCCGTCCGGATTTGTCACACAAACTCCTACATCGATTTTCCTCAGCTGGTCTTGGCTGATAGTAGCAGCATCGGAAAGGTGCTCCATCTCTATGTCGATCTCAACATCACTGCCCATCTTACGATTGCCTGAGCAACGCACTTTGTTCTTTGCTGCGTCAACACAAAGACCAGCTTTGCTGATGGCAGCCACAAGATCACGTGTGTCGCTTGCCGCAAAGAAAATGCCGCTCACAACACATGCCTCAGCATCACTCTTGCCAACCTCTGCTGCGCCATTCAAGGCTGTCACTAGCCAAGACGACATGCGCACAAAATCCACACTGTCCTGGCAAGCTTCCAACATGCCTCTCACCACCTCTGTTTGTGACACACTGCCCTGCAGCCTAGCGAGTTGCTTCTCCAGAGGTCCCAGTGCCTGACTTCGAAGATCATCAAGTTCATTCAGAACACTGGTTTCACGTTTCTGAATAGCTTCTACCAGAGAACGGAAAAATAGCAAAGCCTCTTCTGATGCAAGCTCTATCTGATCATGAAGTCTACGAATGGAGGACTGTACTTTCTGAATGGAGCTCTCCAGAACGCCATCACTCTCAGACACACAGCTCAGCAACAAATCATTCACTGACGCTCTCATCTTCTCTGCTGCAGCATTGATCGACACAAAATCTTGTTTATGCGGCTCATGTTTTCCAGTACCAATGCATCGCTCACATAACAGCTTCTTACACTTTGTGCAGAACTTGGTCAGACTACTGCTTGGGTGCAGTGCACAGCGATGTTGTGATTGAGTAGCTGAAGCAGAAGTAGTGGTCTCAGCAGTCTCAGTGCCTGCTTCAGTCAATGCAAGTACCTCATGACCATGTGTAGCTCGGGAGCGCTTGTGTCCTTCAGTGTGTACACTGCACAGATGACTGCTGCATGTTGCACAGTGCGATACAGCTACTTCCATATCCATACATTCATCACACGACACTGCAGACTTCTGCTTTGCACCACTACCCTCTACATTCGCATAACTATCTGGCAAAGACAGCATGGGGGAGCATCCAGCCTGCAGCGGTGTAGACGCACTACACTTTGGACACGTAATGGAGCCATCTTCATCAACATTCTGCTCAAGGCACGATATGCACAGAGAGTGGAGGCACTGAACCAGTTTAATCCTCTTGTTTTCACAGCCACACGCTACACAGGTCACAGGAGGCATGGCTCAAGCATGAATTATTCTCTAGTACAACACACTCGGCTTCTCACAACTTGTTTTTTCAACACGAGGAATCTCGAGAAGAAAATAACACTCGCACCAGGCGGTGGACACAGAGATAAAAGTGGCACGGTGTCAGTAGTAGATGTAGCTCTGCACAGCAGTCTAGTGCAATGTAGGCTACACACACCATGTACACATGCAGACAGTTGTACTCTCACTGCATGTACTTTTCAGAGATTGCATGACAAGCTGAGCTGGCCCCAAGCCAAGGCCAGGTCTGTCATGACAGGTAGCACAGACTTTGCTGTCAATGCACCTGCACCCACCCTGCACTGAACCATGACATTCCCATTCTGATAACTTATAGTTCACCAAACACCATACAGTCATGTACAGTGTATTGCATCACACAGCCTGTCTATAGCACCACTACCACTGATCACCCCCCCCCCCCCATTCACACAGCCTGTCTCTAGCACCACTACCACTGACCCCCCCCCCCCCCATTCACACAAAAATAATTACTTACTTGAAGAGCACTGAAAAGAGAGTTTCCTGTGTTGAAGGCAGAGACCTCCTGCAGTGAAAAACAATCAAAAGTGTCCCTTCCATATTCACCCTTGATTGAATTTTCTGACCCACCCAAGTTGGGTGTTTTGCCTTGCTGCTTCAAATTGTAGTTAGACCGCATTGCCAATACATTAACTGGTCTCGCCTTCGTCCTGTTAGGTACCTCCTCCCGTACCTTTTCTAGCTGGCCTGCATGCACTCGCGTACTCACCTTTTGTCTCCTTTTGTTCCGTTGGCCTGGGTAGCTACTTGCGCGGCCATAATTGCCATAGCTACCCAGGCCCTTTAATATCTTGCCGTTCAGACTTGATCTCTTCCTCTCCTTTCTCACTCTTCAATAATCACCATGTAGTCGTTTCGTTCGTCTTGGTCTCTTGTCCCGTCTCTAATAAATGTCGTTCCACCAACCTACCTGTTCCCGTTGTAATGTCTGGATAATGTGTCGTCAGTCATCCTTTTTCATATTCAACATTGGCGCCCGATTACTGTAAATATACAAATTTTCGGCAGCTATTTAATTTCGGCTATATTCGGCACCGACCCAAAACGCCTAACTTAAAACGCCGATGAAATTTTTCACAGCATCTGTCGCAATACCATGTCCTCTACCCCACGCCGAAAATAAATCGCCGCCGAAATGTCAAAAATCGTGAAGTGCCGAAATTTTGCAGCGCCGAAATTTTGTGTATTTACAGTATTGATCGACCCACGACCCTGAGATCATCCCATGCCCAGCCGTCCTCAACCGCCATTCGTCTCGTCTATGTCAACCTCGTCTCGTCCATGTCAGTCTCGTCTCTCCTACGCCAACCTCGTCTCGTCTCTATCAACCTCGTCTCTCCTACGCCAACCTCGTCTCGTCTATGTCAACCTCGTCTCGTTCAAGCCATGCAGGTCAGCTGCCTTTCTCTCTTTCTTTTTTTTGTATGCGTTCCTTTTTCGGCAAATTTATTTTCGTGATTTTTTGTAGTGTGTGTGCGCGCGCGTGTGTTCATTAAACATTACCAAGTTAGGGGTCCGATCATGGTGAGCCACGCTCTAATTTTTGGATGTTTAGCAAAAGTGTAACTAGGCTGTATTAGCCGTGAAAAATACGAGTAATTCACGTTCCTCGTCAAACTCCAATAGTTATTACACACTATAAGTAGTACAGGAATGATCTGTAGTGCATTTTTAGTACACACTTTTGTGAGATCCGTGCGTGCGTGCAATATGACATTTGCACGCGCGCACGGATCTCACAAAAGTGTGTACTAAAAATGCATTGTGTGTGTGTGTGTGTGTGTGTGTGTGTGTGTGTGTGTGTGTGCGTGTGTGTGTGTGTGCGTGTGTGTGTGTGTGCGTGTGTGTGTGTGCGTGTGTGTGTGTGTGTGCGTGTGTGTGTGTGTGTGTGTGTGTGTGCGTGTGTGTGTGCGTGTGTGTGTGTGTGTGTGTGTGTGTGTGTGCGTGTGTGTGTGTGTGTGTGTGTGTGCGTGTGTGTGTGTGCGTGTGTGTGTGTGTGTGTGCATGTGTGTGTGTGTGCGTGTGTGTGTGCGTGTGTGTGTGTGTGTGTGTGTGTGCGTGTGTGTGTGTGTGTGCGTGTGTGTGTGTGTGTGTGTGTGTGTGTGTGTTTTCTCCTCCGGTCATTTTTTAAAATCTTTTTCTCTCTTTTTTTTTTCTCCGCGAGAACGCGGGATTTTTTCATGGAGAGGTGGTATGTTAGGTACCTCCTCCCGTACCTTTTCTAGCTGGCCTGCATGCACTCAACAGCAGGGGCGTAGCCAGGATCATGGTTTAGGCCCATAATTTCTTCCATAAACGTTCTTTTGAGGAATCTTGTATATGCATGCTAGTGCGGTGTACACCTTGAATTTATGTATTATGAATGTCTCCAGCTTCCCATTCCAACAATCTATATAATTGCACATTTGCATTGCACTGTCGACTGTTCTCTATGTATCGTCATGATGTGAATAGAGGGAAAACATTCCAAAAAAATTTGGGCCTCCTCTGTGTGACAGCTAGTGTACTGTATACTATGCTATTATTAAAGTGATAGTTTGGGAGTAATATATCCGATACTAATGATGTATTTAGAGCAAGCAAAATTAATAGTATGCAGGTGACTGGTGACTGGAAATCAAGTCAGGACCCACAGTTCAAGCTGACGTTCATCTTGGCACACGTCGATTCCACCACCTTGAACCAATCCCCGTGGTGCTTGTCCACATCAGCATGTACCTTCTCGAGTGTTTCCTGCACTGTGTGGACATCTACCATGGCATGAACGATGTCCCTGGCTTCCGACTGGAGGCTAGACGTTATCCCACGCACATAGCCAAGGCACTTGTTAGTGATGACCAGAGCACTCACGAATTCTGTGGTTGTAACCCGGGAGAGGAGGCCTTTGGCATCGATGAGTGAATCTCGGGACCATGCAGCAGCAGGCGCTTCGGAAATCTCTTGGAAACATACCACGAGGGAGGGCAGGAGGTTGAGGAATGCTTCTAATGCGTCTAACCGCTGCACCCATCTGGTCCTGCACAGGTCCTTCACCTTGTGGCTGGCTGTGTCAGGCTGCGTGGCTGATGCTGCATGCTCCAGAGCAGTCTGTCGTTTTGGATGCGCGTTGAAGAAGACCGACGCCCTGTCCACAACACCCATCATGTTGCGGACCATATTATCTTGCAGCGACGACACAACCACCAGGTTCAGACAGTGTGAAGCACAATGCAGGTACAGGGCAAGAGGGTAGCTCTGTGCAATCCGTGCAGCTACTCCTTTAGTTGCTCCTGACATGTTAGAAGCGCCGTCGTAACACTGTCCCCGCATGTTGCTTAGGTCAAGGCCAAGCTGCTGGATAGCTTCAACTATAACCTTGGCAAGTGCTTCACCCGTAACACCTTGATCGCACTCGACGAACGTCACGAAGTCCTCTCGAACAATTCTACTGGATGCCTCCACATAGCGAATCACGAGTCCAAGCTGCTCTTTATTGGACACGTCTGTTACTTCATCTGCGATGACCATGAACAATTTCGCTGTCTTCACTCTTGCAACAATTTGCCGTGTGATGTGGTCACCAATGATGCTGACAAGCTGGTTCTGAATGTCGCCAGACATGTACGTGGCATTGGCAGGAGCAGTTGACAAGTGCTCGCCAAGACACGAATCACCAGCCTCGACGCGGAAATCCACTAGAGCCCAGAAATTCCCATGGTTAGCAGCACCGTCGGACTCAACATCAGTGCCAGGGTCACAATGTCCACGCAGGGGGAAGTTCTGGCGTCCGCATAGCAGAATGACTTTGATGATAGAGGTCAGCTTTTTGCGGTTGGCTGCCACTTTGTCTGCAAGTGCTGTGTTGGTTTGCTGGATGACATTCTCTCTCTTTCCATCCATTATAGATAAGAATCCATCCGCTCGTACTATTGCGTCCCGGTGGAACTGCTTCGTCATGTGGTCATCCAGCAACTCCAAAGCTTTTCGAAAATTCGTCAGTGGTCGCCTGGCAAATACACCCAGCGATGACCCACGATATGAGCGAGCGAATAACACACAGGGCAAACAGAAGCCGCCACCACAGGTGGCACTGAACACCAACCAGGGCTGGTAGGTTTGAAGCCAGCGATGCTGAAACGCTCGGCCATCGTGTCTTGGGAACGCGTAGCGAGCATCCGGCGAGAAATGCTGCTTCAGCAGGCAATATTTGTCGTCATCTGCCAGTTGCACGCCCTTGGCAATGTCGTCGATGTACTGACCAACGTTGTTGCAGCTTGCAGATGGCACGCTGGAGGTAGAAGAAGCAACAGGTGCAGCTGGAGACGGCACGCTGGAGATCAAAGAAGCAACGGGAGCAGCTGCAGACACTTGACTTGGAATACTGGGAGAAGGAATTTGGGCACTCGACTCGGACTCGGAGTCTCCAGGTTCAACAGTTTCAGAGTCAGAACTCTCTACAACGTCTACCTTTTTCCGCTTCGCTTTGCTGAAATACTCGAGCAAGGACATCGTCGTCGATCAAAATATGACTAAGCGTTCAACAATCTCTCTCTGTCTCTCTCTGTCTCTCTCTGTCTCTCTGTCTCTCTGTCTCTCTCTCTGTCTCTCTCTCTGTCTCTCTCTCTGTCTCTCTGTCTCTCTGTCTCTCTGTCTCTCTCCCTCCCTCCCTCCCTCCCTCCCTCCCTCCCTCCCTCCCTCCCTCCCTCCCTCCCTCCCTCCCTCCCTCCCTCCCTCCCTCCCTCCCTCTCTCTCTCTCTCTCTCTCTCTCTCTCTCTCTCTCTCTCTCTCTCTCTCTCTCTCTCTCTCTCTCTCTCTCTCTCTCTCTCTCTCTCTCTCTCTCTCTCTCTCTCTCTCTCTCTACAGTACGCTGAGCGTATACGCAAATGCTGAGCTTGTAGCGAACGTCGTATTGAACAGTACGCTGAGCGTATACGCAAATGCTGAGCTTGTAGCAAACGTCGTATTGAACAGTACGCTGAGCGTATATGCAAATGCTGAGCTTGTAGCGTGACCAACGCTACAGGCCGGATCATGCGCCACGCGGCTGCAT